ACTCACTATGTAGACCAGGCTAACCTCAAACTTACTGGGATCTGTCTGCCTCTGCTCCCTGAGTGCTGGGATCAAAGGTGTGTGCTACCATACCTGGCTAAACTCTCTTTCTGGAGCTGTCTTTGGCCATGGTGTCTTATCACAGCAACAGAAAAATAACTAATACAGATGAGATGTCCTCAGTGATGAGACGAGACTAAGAAAAAGGAACATTAGTCGGGCTGCTTGACCGACCATCCCTATAACCTCAGATTGGCCTGAGGATCTCAGGCTGTGCAGCCGTGATAAGGACTCTCACTCTAAATGGGGCCCGAGTTGAACTCTCAAGAGATGACTTGGTATTTGTTCTACAGTATGACTTAGTGGGTGGGTTTTCAAACACCATACCGACCAAGGCATGGCCACTCTGGGTGTATCATGCCTGCCTGCACCTCGCGACACTCCTGAGGGCTCTAATGTAACTCCATGAACACTCAGGGAGAGCCACATGAGACACAGGAAACAACTTACAAATCTGCAGCAGGACAAGCCTTGGAGCTCTCATTGGTTCCCTGCTTAGTCACTCCCATGCCTAAGTTTATGTCCCTGCAAAGTGAAGTTAAAGGCTGCACAGATGGCTCGGTGGCTGAGAGCACTGAGGGTTCTTCTGAGAACCACAGTTCAATTCCCAGCACCACATGGCGGCTAACACCTGTCTATAGCTCTATCTGATATCCTCCTCTGATCTCCATGGGCACTGCACACACATGGTGCAAAGACATACCTGCAGGCAAAACACCCGCACACATAAAATAAAATAAATACATCTTTTTGAAAAATTCTAAAAATAAAACAAAATAAAGTTAGTAGGAAAAAGTTTTGTTTCACTTCAATAAAAAATAAATGTTAGGGGCTGGAGAGATGGCTCAATGGTTACTTGTTACTCTTACCTGGGTTTGGTTCCTGGCACCCAGCTGGGCAGCTCACAATCATTTGTAACTCTACTTTCAGGGTGTGTGGCACCTCCTTCTGGCTGGCCCTCTATGGGCCCAGGCACTCACATGGTACATATTCATGTATGCAACCAAAATATTCACACATATAGAAAAGAACATTTTAAAAAAGAAAGAGAACCAGGCATAGTGCTGCTTGCCTTTAATCCCAGCACTGCAAAGGCAGAGGCAGGAGAATCTTTGTGAGTTCCATGCCAGCCTGGTCTATGTAGAAGGTTCCAGGATAGCCAGGATGACATAATGAGATCTTGTCTCAGAGAGAAGGGAGAGAGAAAGGGAGAGAATATGCACAAAAGCAAGCTTATATTCTCTTTAAAATAATTGATCAATTAAACTAGTGTTCTGTACTTGGACATTACTGTTTTTCAGTTGGGAAACAAGATGGCCCATAAAAATTCTCTATTTTCAGGTTAGCTATGAGAGCCTGAAACCAAAGGACAGAGAGAATTTTGTTCATTTTTTTTTTTTTTTTTGCTTACCCTTCCACCCCTCCCCAACATACATAGTAGGTGTGGGACCCAGGAAAGAACCTTTTTTTAAAAAAAAAAAAATCAGGGGCTGGAGAGATGGCTCAGTGGTTAAGAGCATTGCCTGCTCTTCCAAAGGTCCAGAGTTCAATTCCCAGCAACCATATGGTGGCTCACAACCATCTGAAATGAGATCTGATGCCCTCTTCTGGCTGCAGACACACAGACAGAATATTGTATACATAATAAATAAATAAATAAATATTTAAAAAAAAATCAGAATCTTATTATGTATCCAAGGTGAGTCTTCGATTCAAGATCCTTCAGCCTCCTCTCTCTTTCTCTCTCCCCCTCCCCTTCTCTCTCTGTCTCTTATGATTTATTTTTACTTAATATGAGGTGGTGTTTTTCCCGTATGTTTATCTCTGTGAGTATGTTGGATCGCCTGGAACTGGAGTTACAGATAGTTGTGAGCTGCCATGTGGGTGCTGGAAACTGACCTCCAGGTCCTCTGGAAGAACAATCAGTGCTCCTAACCACTGAGTCATCTCTCCAGTCCCTAATCTTTTTTTTTTTTTTGTGGAGGGGGCAGGGCTTAAGATGGGGTTTCTCTGTGTAGCTCTGTTTGGCCTGGAACTCATACTGTAGACCAGTCCAGCCTCAATCAGAGATCTGCCTGACTCTGCCAAGTGCTGGGATTAAAGGCAGACGCCGCCACCACCACGCAAGTCCGGGGTAACAAGTGTACCTTATTACTACCCTCTGGGAGGGCCCATTTTGATGATCCGAAAGTTGTACCTTGGTAACAACAGAACTGGATCTAAAAGGTCTTTGCTCTGGTCTCAGTTTGTCCAAATAGAACAAAAACTTTTCTCTAAGTCTATGTGCCCTGCCCTCTAGTGGTGTTGGCTGTATACTACAGGAGTGATCTTGAATGGATTTAAAGTTATTTCTTGTTCTAAGTCCTTTCACGACTGGGACCTGCACTTGCCCTTATCTGAACTTTAGAAAACTTCTTGGCTTTGTTATCTTGGGGGTTGAACCCAAGGCTTTGTGCGTGCCAGCCGAGCAAGTGCTCTACTAACTTTAAGCTGCTCTTCTTACTTAGTATAGAATGAGACCCTGGAGCCTGAACTTTTGTCAAGCACGCTGGGTAGCTCTGATGCACAGATATTCAAGGTACATCTTGAAAAGTAAGTCTTTGGGGTTCGGGGAGGTATAACTCCGTGCCAGATGGTGTGCTCTGCATGAATAAAGTCCCACCACGACCTCTACTGATAATAATTAAAATAAGGCTGTGTAATTGTCCTCCCAATTTCTTCTCCCTCACCTGTTACTCCTGAATTGCCGCCCAAGCACCCTTGGGCTTTGGGAATATGGGGCTGAGGATTAGTTACTCCCTTTGCCTACTCAATACCGTGTTTCCAGAAGTACCCATTTTGGGTAGTCACTGGGGTAAATGGCAGCTGCCTGTGGGCCACCAGCCCATGCCAAGTGAGGTCAGCAAGAAAGAAGCTGGCAGTGAGTGTGCCAGCTGTGGGTCTGGTGGATCGGTGCTCTGCTAAGTGATTTCAAACAATCCCTTCTGAAAACCTTACATGAGACCATACTTTATTATTTACACCGTTTTGTAGATGAAGGAAGTATTGCTACTCGCACTGCTAGTCAGCACCGGAATTTGAATGTTTGTCTGATTCAGTTCTCCTCAGCAAGGGTGGATTTGGACTCCCCAGAGGAAAATTGGGGACATTTCTGTTAGTTCTAACTGGGATCGGGATTGTGTGCTACTGGCATCTAGGATAGAGCACAGTGCAGCCATCTGCATAAGAAATCATCTGGCTAAACATATCAATAGTGCTAAGGTTGAGAAATCTCAACCTGAAACTGTGCTCTTGGCCTTGAGGTCGGTGAGAGGTTAGAGAGTCGGATAAAGTGCAGAAGGGCAACCACTGGGGTCTTGAATGAGGAGGGAATGGGACTCTTATGCTAGGGATAATGGAGAATAGGGCTGCTTGTTGAGACTCCTCTTTCTTCCAAGCTTGGCCAGAGCCCTACTCAATTTCCCCCAACCCTGCCAAGTCAGTCCTGGGACTTCACACTAAGTTTGTCCCGGAGTGACCCTGATTCCCAGCTCAGAGCTGGGACAACATATTTACCTGAGTCTTCCCGTAGGAATTCCCAGAAGACAACCCTGGCTTCCAGGACTGATGTGTTCCACCTGCAGTACCTGAGCTAACAAAATGTTGGCACATTTCCAGAGGGAGGGGGTGGGCTAAAAGGAAAAGATGCGGCACCTAAGAAGTTAAAAGTGGAGTGGGCAGGCCAAGGCTGGAGGACCCGGTCAGCTACCGGACCTAGGAAGGGAAATAGCAACTGAAACAGAGAGTTAGGGTCACAGGAAACAGGGTTCTGATCCACCAGGCTTGCTTTCCACCACCTTTCCTTCTCCCTAGGCTTGGGCTCAGTTTCCCTGTACCATCCCCAGGAGCCTACTGGAGCACCCACACTCAGCGAGCGATCGAACGTACCAGGCTCCCCAAGAGTGGCCTCACCAAACTCAATGTGCTGACAAGAAATATCTCTGGTTCCAATCTCCTCCCTTTCGAACTCTGAAAAACTAAGATGCTGGGGGAAGTGGCAATCCTGGAGTGATAGAGAAAAGATCAGGAAAGTATAACGCCCCCACCCCCATGATTGGGGTTCCATTTCCTTCCCTTACCACCCATGCGGGGTGTGGAGGGGGGGTCAGAGAAAAGGAGATGGAGAAGGACAGACGAGGAGGAGGAGAAGGATGTGGTTAAGACTGATGCTCCCCTGGGGTCGAACAATCAGCTGTTACTAGGGCGGAAGACAGGAAGTCTCCTTAAAGGCACAATGTCCTGAACGAAAAATTGAGGAGTTTGAAGGAGCTAGCAATCACCTAGTGGAGCCCATACTTAACGCAGTAACTACCTCAGCTCCCCTCTCATTTGTCCGCCTCAGTTGCTCGCACCCTCAATTTGGAGATGATGCAAAAGTCATGAACCCCAAGCCAGAAGTTTCTCTTTGGGGGTGAGGAGGGAGTGATGAGGTGGTCCCAGGCTTGTCTCTTTAAATAAGCAATTCGGCAGCTTTTGCCAAGTCATTGGGTTCATTTCAGTTTTTGCCCATCCCCCGCTCTTCAGACTCTGATTGGCCCCTGGGGAAGCAGCAGCCTCTTCATTGGTCTCCACCTTTGAAATCACTTCCCTAAAGTAGGCCTGAGTCAGAGAAGCGCTTTGGAGGGTGGGACTGCCTAGGTGTTAATCAGACGGTGGGGTTTCTGGCTAGTATTACTTTGCCACAGATCGTCCTCTAATCTCTAAACAGAAGCCTTCTCTCTAAAGTGAGGGCTGTGCTATAAATCCTTTGTTAGGAAGCTGCCCCTTGAGAAGTCGTGGACTGTTCGGCAACTAGGACGAGACAGATTCCTTTCGCTAGACCCACGAAGGGTATACTAGCTCCCCAGAGAAGACTGGGGCTGTGCGGGTGACAGTCGTCCCTATACCCCGAAGCCCTAGGGAGTTCGGTTGCATCGGTGGCTGACTTCCATCTTCAGCTCTGCCCACTCCTGTTGCTTCTCGGGCTCCACCTTTCTTTAACTTAGGCCTTCTGTGGAGGCTGGTGAATCAGTTCTGAGGTTCTCTAAAAGAAATTCCAAGAAGGAGGGGCTTTAGCCCTTTAAGGACTTCCCCGCGACCGATTCAGAGATCAGTTTAAAAATGCCAACTCACAGAGCGCGCTGCATTCTGGGAAGCCGAGTGTCACCATAAAGAACTTCATTGACCAAGATGCACTGCAAAAGCACACGCCTTCACTTCCTTCTGCTCTTTAAACTGTGGCTTGACGTAGAACTGGTCTAAGCGAGTGGCCTAGGCCGAGGGCTAGCCACACCTTTTCAGCTATTGGCCAGCTGGTCAGTTGTTGGGCGTGGCTTAGAGCAGTTCCTCCGGGCGAGGGGGTGGCCTCCTTGCCAATCAGAGCCCAGACGCCGGGAGGGGCGGGAGTAAGCAGAGGTGCTGGCGCCCCCCGAGTGGGTGTGGTCACGTTGCCCAGCAGTAGGCGGTGATTGGCCCTGGGAGATGCCTTCGTAGCTCGTGCGTCACCACGCCGCCAGCTGATCGGAGACTGGAGCCGGTGTGTGCTGGGCGCTGGGAAGAGACAGAGCGGTCGGCCGTGCGGAGAGGACGCAGTGATTTTGCTCCCCTGTCCTCAGCAACCCCCACACCCAGCATCAGGTGGGTGTGATCTAGGGGCCCGGTCATTCCGGGGGAAATCGCGGTAACAGGGTAATGGGGGAAAGTAGGGTCCTGGCGACCACACCCTGCCCTTCTGGGGGAGGGGAGAGGGGGCGGCGGGGACGGGGACCCTCCCGGGAGAGGGGTCTGGACTGGCCCGAGTAGTGTGTCTGGATGTTTAAAGAGAGGGTCCCGGACAGGAATCATGGAAGAAGGTCTGGAGAGGTAATTGGGGAAGATAAGAGGCCGGAGGGCTGGGGGCGTCTAACTCCGACGGCCTCAGGTTTGAGGATCCGGGAGCTGACCATTTAGCCAGGGGAGAATCTGGGAGAGCGACTGGTGTGGAGGTGCACAGCCTCTACCGGCGCTGACTGGGGCAGGGCTAGTTCAAGTCCCTGGCAGGGAAGGGGTCCCTGGGCGGGCCAGCCCCTCCTCTCGTTCCCTCCCGGGGATGTTATGTAAGGGGGGAGGGGAAAGGAGTAGGGGGCGGCGGTGCGGAGGCCTTATGCAACCCAAAGGTTAGGGTTTCACCGTGGTTGGGCGGAGGTTGGGGGGGCGGACAGGAGGAGGGCCTGGAAACTCTACCCGCACCCCCCCCCCAGTCTAACTGGCCGTCTTGGACAGAGAGAAGGTCACCTTTGCACCTCCCCCCAGTATGTCCGGTGGTGAGGCCCCTAGCCCCGGCTTGGCCATGACCGCCTGGGAAGCCGGCTGGCTGGGTGGGGCGCCTGGGTTAGTCATCGCTGGGCTCCCTCTCTCCCCACCTTCTGGCCAACTCTTGGCCCCTCCCCACAGTCTCCGGCGAGGCTAACGTCCCCACCTCCCTCTGGCCCTAGTTTCAGCCTCCAACTCATTTGGCCTGTCATCCTGGCTGTCAGAGTAGACTAGAAGCTGTCATGGTGCCAGAGGGTTGATGGAGCAGCTGGTCAGAGGGTCAGTGCCCTGGGCCCACCCCGCCCAGCAGCCAAGGGCACCTGCTTGGCACAAACTCTCAGCAGCCAATGAACCCTGTAGCTGAACAGAGCCATCTCGGGCAGAGAAGAGTGGACAGAAACTGATCACCTAGGAGAAGGAAGATACCACAAAGTTTGTGCTTCCCAAGAGGCTTTTGGAATTTGAAAATCTCCCACCTCACTGAAATCTTTCCACCCCCTGAATTTAGAAATCCCAAGGCAAAATCTCCTTGGCCCCTCATCTGGCAATGGCCATGCCCTTGGACTGCCTGTGCAGAACCACCCTCTCCAGCTCAGCCCTTTAGCCTGCCACGCCCCCAGCCCCCTCCCTGGACCATGCTGCAGGGCCCCGGCTTTTCCTGCTGATTCATGCGTTGGAACTGTGGGGGCGGGGCTTGGAACTTGGAACAAAGTTCAGACGTGGAGGGGCCGGCAGACAGCCTGGAATTCATACCAGATGTACCCGGAATGTGCAAGCGGAATGCCTGGCATCTCAGAGTCCTGAGGAAGCTGCCCAGCTACCCTGCCCATGCCTCCCTCCCCTTCTGCCGGTGGTCAGCTGTCCTCTCCCTCATACTCCTCAGAGCCCCCGCTGACCTTCCAAACTCTAGCCCTCCCCCCCACCATTCTCACCCTTCACAAACCCTCCTTCCAGCTGAATTCACTATAGGAGCAAATCAGTCAAGCTGATTACAGAACTCAAAGCTCTGGACCCGAAGTACAATTTTTCATTTGGTTCCTGGGTTCTAGACCTTGCCCTTTGAATGCTGAAGATGCTGGAGTCCTCAGTCGGTTGCCAGGGGTTGCTAGTGCCTGTAAAGCTGGGCAAGACAAGTGCATTTAGAAGCCTCTTGCTTCTCACTCAAGAGCCCCCCATTAGAAGGTATTGAAAGTCAATAGAGCTAGTGGGTCACTGTCGCTGCTACCCAGCCCTATTCCAAGCTCTCCTGTTTTTCCTCTCTTCCACTTAGGAACCTGTGCCTCCCACACCCTCACCTGGCTGAGCCGCAGTAGTTCTTCAGTGGCAAGCTTTATGTCCTGACCCAGCTAAAGCTGCCAGTTGAAGAACTGTTGCCCTCTGCCCCTGGCTTCGAGGAGGAAGAGGAGGAGCGGAGCGACTTCTTTGCCTATCATCTGGAAGGTGACAGAACTGGGGTTGGGAAGGGCTCACAGCTGGGGTTATGGTTTTAGGGAAGGGAAACTCTGGTGCTTTGGGGAGCCCTTACCCACACTGGCCCAGCAAAAGGTTCAGGTTAAAGTCCCTGACTAAATCGGGGACTAGGTAGCTCCACCTCCCCATGTTACTTGATCTTTGTGTCAATGGGGAGAAACAGAAGGAAAGTCTGTCTACCTGTCTAACAAGACTTCCTCGTAGGCCTGCCTTTCTTATCTCTCCCCACCCCCCAACTTTCCCTTCACACAAGCTCCAAAAGGAAATGTACTCACGGGAAAGGTGACACCAAAATTCTGATCTAAATGGTCATCTGTGCGTTTACCTTTCTCTGTATTTTTTAGATTGGTCCAGATTTTGGTTTTAGGGGTACTTACCTCTATGGGAGTCTTACACCTGTTTCTTTCTCCTCCTGTGCAATGGGGAATCCCATAGATGAGTAGGCGGGAGGGCATCAGAAGTCCACCTGTGCTGACTCAGAGCCAGGCTCCTCTTCCTGTGGGTGGAAACCAAACAGCTCCTCATCTCAACTGTTGTCCTCCTCCACGCCCTGACTAACCCAGCTCTCAGGACTGGGACCAATGCAAGGAGCTAGTGGGAGGCTGGACCTATGCTGGCTGCTCATCACACAAGGGTGACCCAAGGTTTCCCCTCCACTCAACGACAGACCACAGCTCCTGATTGGGTCCTAGCAACTGCTGCCATTTATTTCCTGCCTTTGCTTTCCAGGATAGAGAGGCTCAGCTCAGTGCTGTGCAGGGAAGGAACTGTCTCCTGCAGCCGTCAGAGGAAGCAGGTTCGATGACAGGAGTCCCTTCTGCTGTCGCTAGCCCTGATGCATTCTCATGCTTGGGCTTGGGCTCTGATTGTGGTTCTCCTTTGGCCTAGTCTCCCTAGCAGAAGATGGGTTCAGGGGCTACAGGAAGCCTTTTGTTCTGTTTGGCAGGAGGAGGAGTTCTAGCCCAGTCTCCAGTTATGAGAAATTGAAAGCCATAGGGGAGACTAGATCACACAACCCAACCCTGCTGCAGCCTGAGATGAGGGGTAGGACGGGTGAGGGACCGCAGCAGAGGGGGTGGGGAGGCCGAGTCTGCTCATACCCTGCAACAAAGCCTGCTCTGTCCCTCGACATGGCTTTCTTCCCCTCCTCACTTCACTGGCCACAGTGTGTCCCTCCAGCACGGGCTTCATGGCTCTGCTATCTTCATCCAACATGGAGCCTCAGAGGTGAGGAAGGGCAGCCTGGAAACAGAGGCAGGCAGAAGACCAGTGAACCGGACATTGGTCAGAGAGGCACATAGAAGCCTGGAGAACACCAGGGAAGAGAACAGCCAACCTCAGTGAAAGACAAGCTTACTGCCGCCTCCTCTCCAGACCTCCCTTGGAAATGAAGAGCCATAATGAAGTATGGTCCCAGCTCTTCTCTACCCTGCAGTTTCTATATAAGCACCCTCAAGGAGCATGAGCCACCTCTGCAAGGAAATCATAGCAAATTCAAAGAGGGATTCAAATGTGTAGCACTATGAAAAAAACGTATTTTGGGCTGAGGCTGTAGCTCAGTTGGTAGAATGCTTGCTTAGCATGCCCAAAGCCTTGGTTCTGTCTTCTGCCTTGCCTAAAACTGGGCGTGGTGGCACAGGCCTGTAATCCCAGTCACTGGTGGTAATGGCCAGACTCTGCTACACAAAGAGTTCTGAGCCAGCCTGGATTACCTGAGACTCTGTCTCAAAAGAAAAAAAAAAAAAGTCTTTGTTAGTAATTAAAAGAAGACAGACCTGGCTGAACGCGTTTTTTCCTGATCATGGTAGACAAATGAAAGCCAGAAGAAACTCCTGTGCATTGTGGGTAGCGATATCAAACACTGGAAGAGATGTCTTTTGCCCTTGTAATTTTGTGTTTTAAGAACTGTATCTTAAAATCAGGACTTGGTTATAAAATGTTCATCTAAGGGTTGCAGTAGAAAAAAGAGAAGCTACTGCTTATTTGGAAATCCATTCCTTTTCTGCTGTAATGAAAATTTGCAGGAGGGGATTGCTTAAGTGAGTTATATTCATCCCAATGGTAGACTAGTGCACGGCCATCCAAAGTCATGTAGAAGAAAAATTGACTGGAAAGAAAAATGCTCTTTGAATATTAAAAAATTATTAAAGTATGAGTTTAATTTTGTTTTTAAATAATCTGTTTTTATATATGAGTGCATACTTGTTAATACATAGATTAAGAAAAGACTGAAAGTAGACCCAAAACATTAAGAGTGGTTATTTTCGTATGGTGTGATAGAACAATTTTCCCCTTGTTTTTTCTCATTCTATGTTTTCTATATTAATTGTATATTACTTTTATATGTTAAATAAATTGCAAAAGATAAATGTAAATTTTAAGTTTTTACTTTTATGTGTATGAGTGTTTTGCTGGCATGCATCTATGTGCACCATTCTTATGCCTGGTGCCTCCAGAGGCTAGTAGAGGGCTTAGAATCTCCTGGACCTGGAGTTAGGCTGCTGGATGTGGGTGGTGGGAATCCAACATAGGTCCTCTGCAAGAGCAGCCAGTGCTGACTGCTGAGCCACAAATCTTCACACCCTCTATGTAATTTTTAAAAGACGATTTCTATCATGTGCCTGTTTGGGCACCTGAGTGCGGGTGTCTGCGGAGCCAGAAGAGGGCCTGACATCTCCAGAGCTGGAGTTACATGCTGTTGTGAGCCCTCTGATATGGATGCTGGGAATTGAACATGGGTCCTCTACAAGAGCCGCAAATGTTCCCGGCCACTAGAGCCCTCTCTCCAAGTCCTTGATGTATTTTTTTAAAATTTTGGAGAATTGGGTGTAGGGGAATGGGCTGTATTTAGTGCCCTGGTGAAAATGTTTGCGTGGGGTACCTACTGCTTCTTGAACATGTGTGGGGGTGGGTTGAGTGCTGGGAATCACACCCAGGGCCTTCCCTGTACAAGCTAGGCAGGCGCTCCTGTCACACTGAAGTCAGCCCTGTTGAGCTTCATTCTTTAGTTCTCTGAATCCACCCACTTGCTCTGTATACAGGAAGCGTTCCTCCGACTTCTGGCTGTCAGCCAGCTAAGGAGGTGTGGCTCAGAGTAAGAAAGAAGGAAAATGCTCCAAACCAGTCACTCTTCAGGGAATTCAGGGTTGGAGAGAATGTTCCTCTTAAGGCCAAACGTCTAGGGTTGCTACCGCGGGTGTTGATCTCTTTTGAGTGGGCCTTTTTCTTGAGGCTTGGGAAGGGGAGGAGAATAGTATGTGGTAGGGATTTCCTGTGTCTCCCCTGCCCCAGTAAAGATTCCCAGCGTCTGGGGGCAGGAATTCGGGAAGGGATCCCCCAATGGACTGCTCCAAAACAGGACTCCCCCGTTTGGGGAGTACTATGTAAGGGAATTACAGATGGGCAGAGAGCACCTCTGCCGAACTGGCCATGCTCTCAGGTAAAGGTGAGGTGATGAAAGGTTTGGACCCTCGGGGCTTGGGTGCGCTGCCCTTCTATCTTCACAACTGGGTAAGGATGACCAACCAGTAGGTGAGAGAAGAGGAAACCAGAGCAGGTGAAAGTTAGTGGGCGGAGCCCCATACCTGTCAGGTAAGGCTAGATAAATCGCTTTCTGGAACTCTGAGGGGTTTGGAGACTCGTGGCGTTGGAAAAGACTTCTAGTGTTGTGCAGGAAGGCTTCTGAACTCGGTTGCCGAACTTGATGCCTGGGAGCCCCCAAACCGCAATCCCCCAAGCAGGGGCAGGACGCCAGCGCTTCTATGGCTCCATGGGTGGTGGCCCCACAGCTGCACCAATCACTTGCCCAGCCGGGAGATAGGGGCGTGGACAAGCTAGGGAAAGTTACAACAGGTTGGAAAGGCAAGACAGGCGTGGAAGCCCCTGGCAACAGCCAGATCCCGACTCCGCTGTGGGGTCCTTCGAGGTCCCGGACAACAGGCACGGGGATCAAAGACACAAACTAAAGCCTAGCTGACCTGCCAGACCATGGCATCCTGGGAACTCCTTGTGGTTGGTGCCTCCTTCGCGGCATTTCGGGGGCTGCACTGGGGACTGCAGCTGCTGCCCACCCCGGAAACTGCTCGAGACCTTTGGATGTGGCGGAACATTTTCGTTTCGCTGATGCACAGCCTTCTCTCTGGAGCAGGGGCGCTGGTCGGGTGCGGAACTTGGGGACTGACGAAGCACTGAGGGGCGGAGGTGGAGATGAGAGCGTGGAAGACTGAGGTTGGAATTCTGGGTGGGTACCTTTTAGAACAGATGTGAGGTCTTAAAGTCTGGAGCTGGGTTAGGTTGCGGACAGGTGAGAGTACCAAGGGAATAATGGTTTTAGGTCTTAGAGAAATTAACCCTAGCTCCCGCCCCCCCACCCCCGTCTTCCCCAGGCTATGGCTGTATCCTCAGATGGTCATCGACCCGATTCATGGCCACCCATCGTGGGCAGTGGTCCTAGTAGCAGTGTCAGTGGGTGAGTGTACAGACAGGCTGGGCCCCCAGAAGGCCGGTGCTGAAACAGGAATCCTAGGTCCCTCCCCCGCTTTGGAATGGAGCCCATATTGGTGGAGGTTTGCTGTGAGGGATTAAGGACCTGAGGAAGGTGGTACTTGAGACTCTTCTCTAGGCCTTGCTCTGAGCTAGGACGCTAATAATCCTCTGCCATGCCCACAGGTTATTTCCTGGCGGATGGAGTTGACATGCTGTGGAATCAGAACTTGGCCCAGGCCTGGGACCTTCTCTGTCACCATTTGGTGGTGAGACACTGAAGGGAGAGGCCAGACAGAAAGGAAGCACCTCCAAGTTTAGAACCCAGCCCCTCTTCAGCCTTCTGTCCTCTGACTTTCCCATAAAGCCCCCTGTAAACCCATCTTCCCAGTCTTGGGCTGAACTGGAAGGAGGTTTTGACTGCTAGCCACAGTTTGGAGTCTGGGCACTACAGAAGAGGTTTGGATCCCCACAAACATCCAGCCGGTCATGAAAACATTGATGCAGAATGTTGCTGAGAGGGGGAGTCATGGTAAAGGCTGTGGGAAGGAGGCAGAAAAAGCGAGGATTGAAAGCTGGGGTGTGCTGTGCAAACAGTCTAGGTTCAGGGTGAAATAGCCTCTGGGCAAAGACATGGGTCAGCAGGAAAGTCAGGTTTGGGGGGAGTCCTCCGAAATGCTTTCGTGTCCTCAGTGTCCCGGGACTCGATGGGCACAGGTCATACGAAAGTCTGACTTTGAACCTTGTCCCCAGGTAGTGAGCTGCCTCAGCACTGCGGTTCTGTCTGGCCACTTTGTGGGCTTCGCTGTGGTGTCTCTACTTCTGGAGCTGAACTCCATCTGTTTGCATCTGCGGAAACTTCTGCTGCTTTGCCATAAGGCCTCATCCTTGGCCTTCAGAGTAAGCAGCTGGGCCACCCTGACCACGCTGGCCCTCTTCCGCCTTCTACCTCTAGGATGGATGAGTCTGTGGTTGTTTCGGCAGCGCTACCGGGTGTCTCTTGCTCTGGTCATCCTTGGTGGAACTGGGCTGGTCACTGTGGGATCCATGAGCATCTCATTGGGTATCCGCATTCTGATCAGGGATGTCTTGCAGTCTCGACCCCACCCATTTATCTCTGTGCACAAGGAGACCAAGACATATGAAGGAGAGACAGTCACCAGGAACAATTCCACTCTCAGTCTGAAAAACTAGAGAAGTGGAGGTTTCCTCTTCAGTCAGCCCTGAGACTGGGGCCAGGAAGAGGAGATGGTAGCCTTCGCTGCATAGTCTCCTGTGTAGCAAAGCCCAGACTGTATTAGCAGTATCGCAAGACCTTTTCCAGATGACCCACTTCTCTCCCCTTCTCAAGACCCAGGAAGGTTTCATGGAAACCCACATTACTGCTCACTGAATTCCTTTGCTCCAGCGTAAGGACAGACCACAGGACAGGAGGTTCTTCTGGAATCAGAGAGGCCTGGCATGGAGAGCCATTTATGATCAAATTCTGACCTCATTTATGATCAAATTCTGACAGTGTGATAAGAGCACAGGAAACATTATCTGCTGCCAGGAAGGATGCACGTGGCAGTTGCCAGTGAAGACAGAAGCTAGGCCACTGCAATTGTTGCTGATACCTCTGATCTTCTAGGTCAGACTGCAAGTACTGGGATTGTACTAGCCCTACCCTACTGCAAACAGCCTTTCTAATACTTGTGTATCTTCTGACCTAAAAAAAATATAATTCTTAGATGAACATGGTCTGTCTCCTAAGGCAGCACAGAAGCCAGAAGCCACAGAAAAGACTCAAGTGCCCAGTGTGATCACCTAGCACTAAACTTTCGAGACAGGGTTTCTCTGTAGCTTTGGAGCCTGTCCTGGAACTCCCTCTGTAGACCAGTCTGGCCTCGAACTCACAAAGATCCTTCTGCCTCTGCCTCCTGAGTGCTGGGATTAAAGGTGTGCGCCACCACCGCCCGGCTCTGCAGCAAGTCTCCCATTGCGGCTCTCCTCCATTTCTCGTCTGAACATCCGGGTTACAGGACTGCAGAGGACTGAACGGTGGGGGGAGAGAGTGATAACCTTTGATCATCACAAAAAAAGATACAGGAGCAAAAAACAAGAGGCAGGAGGGGCTTTTAAAATGCGCTGCTAAGATCAGGTGTGGGTGATGTCGACTTTAATCTTAGCACTCACGAGGCAGAGGCAGGAGATTTCTGTGAGTTCGAGGCCAGCCTGGTCTATAGAGTGAGCTCCAAGACAACCAAGGCTACACAAAGAAGCAGTGTCTCAAAAAATGAAAAACCAAAGCTATAAAAAAATGATGCTAAGAAGTGAAGGGAGAGAAAGACAAAGAGGATGAGGGAGACAGATGTGCACATGTGCACAGATATGTCTGAGTAGAAGAGAGAAAGATCCAACCCCAGGGAAGAGTAAAAGCTTCAGCAGACATATTGAGAAAGGTTGTTACAGAGGCTAAGAGAACCCAAATCATAGTGTTAATGAAATGGTCACAAAGAAAGCAGGAAAAAGCCAGGTGGCAGTGGCACATGCCTTTAATCCCAGCACTCAGGAGGCAGAGGCAGTTGGGACTCAGTGAGTTCAAGGACAGCCTGGTCTATAAGAGCTAGTTCTAGGACAGGCTCCAAAGCTACGGAGAAACCCTGTCTCAAAAAACAAAAAACAAAAAAACAAAAAAAAAACAAAAAGGGAAAGAAAGAAAGAAAAGAAAAAAGAAAAAAAGGAAAGCAAGCAAGCAGGAAAACCAGAAATAAAGTGGGACAGAAAGGGACCCCAAGAGAGGGAGGCCAGGTAGTCTAGACATCAGAACCCTGAAAGCAGACCCAGGAGAGATGGAGGCGATAGTGGCAAATGGAGAGAGTAACAGAGAGAGAGAGAGGTAGAGGTGGAGAAGATGGGGAGCAGAGAGGGGACTGAGAAGCAGGGACAGAAGCGGGAGAGGGTTTGCTGTATAGAAACAGGAAGCGTGTTGAGCTGGAGATAGGCAGCTGCAGTGAGATGCAGACAGGCTGACAGAGACTGACGGGAAGAGGGGTCAAGTCAGACTAGATCTGCAGGGAAGACAGGACAGGCAGGGCGGAGGAGCATCCCGGGTGTGGGGACAGCATGTAAAGCACCTAGGTAACATCCAAAAGAAACAAAAGGGGGAACAAAGGAATAAAGAGAGAGGAAAAGACAAAAAAAAGAGAGAGAGAGAATATTGTATGAGATCTCCATTATAGTCAGAAAAACAGGAGCAAAGCAGAGAAAATAACAAGCAAAGACTGGAGTCCGGCAAGGTGGCACACACTGATAATGGTCAGGATGGTCAGGAGTTCAAGGCCAACCTGGGCTACGTGAAACCCCATCTCAACGAACAAACCAAAGAAGAAAAAAAGAAAAAAATCGGACATGGCAGCTGCAGCATTACCAAGTGTTCATGAGGTCTTAGGTTCAATGCCCAACAGGAACTTTTTTTTTTTAAATGTAGGATTTGGCAGGAGCTTTGTTTATTGATATTGGTCTGGGTCACTAGGATAATACCATGGCCAGGTGAAGCCGAAGCCGTCCTCAAGACTGACTCCATGCTTGCGATAGATTCTGTCTGCCAGCAGAGGGGAGGAGTTTCAGTGGGGAGAGGACATGAATAAATTGCTATGCAAATGATTTCATTAGTCTATTGTGAAAGTGATTGCTTTGAGTCATCTCTCTTGGCTCCAGTGGTATCCTGGTTTGCAATATGATGTGGGCTGTGGAGGCTTTGACTTGAGATGGTTTCCTGTTACAGATTTCTCTGCCTATCCGTCCCCCCCACTTCTGTTTGTTTGTTTTGTGTTTTTTGTTGTTGCTGGTGGTGGTGTTGTGTGTGTGTGTGTGTGTGTGTGTGTGTGTATGTGTTGGGAGTCGGCTTTATGTAGTGGAGGCTGGCCCTGAACTTTTCTTGATCCTCCTGCCTCTACCTCCTAGTACCTAGGCCTGTGAGTATAGGAGTGTGTCGCCAGACCAGGCCGGGCTACCAGGCTAGCACATTCTCTTTGTGACTACAGATAACTGAGATGTTATAAGATCCTCTATGATCAGAAAACCTAGGAACCAGGGAGAGGTCTCAGAAGATAATGATACTTGCTGTCAGGCCTGATAACCTGAGGTTTTTTTTTGTTTTTTTTTTTTTTTTTTTTTTTTTTTT